ACATCAGGCTGGCGGATGGTCATGAGTGGGGTCCCTCAATTTAGGGCCAGTCCTCTTCAATATTTTTTTTAGAAATGATCTGGATGTAGGACAAGAAGGTGTTTTGAGCAAATTTGCCAACAACACCAAACTTGGAGAAGCTGTAGACTCGTCTGAGGGTGGAAAGGCCTTGCAGAGAGATCGGGAAAGGTTGGAGAGCTGGGTGATCACCAACCACATGAAGTTTAACAACAGCAAGTGCTGGGTCCCGCACCTGGGACAGGGCAGCCCCAGCTATCTGTACAGACTGGGTGACGAGATGCTGGAGAGCAGCCCTACAGAGAGGGATCTGTGGGCTGTGGTTGGCAGCAAGTTGAATATGAGCCAGCAGTGTGCCCTGGCAGCCAGGAGGGCCAACCGTACCCTGGGGTGCATCAAGCACGGCATCGCTAGTAGGTCGAGGGAGGTGATTGTCCTGCTCTGCTTTGGTGCAGCCTCACCTCGAGTGCTGTGTGCAGTTCTGGGCACCGTAGTACAAAAAGGATGTAAAACTGTGGGAGAGTGTCCAGAGAAGGGGGACGAAGATGGTGAAGGGCCTAGAGGGGAAGACGTATGAGGAGCAGCTGAGGGCACTGGGCCTGGTCAGCCTGGAGAAGAGGAGGCTGAGGGGGGACCTCATCACAGTCTACAGCTTCCTCGAGAGGGACAGGCACCAGTCTATTCTCTTTAGTGACCAGTGATAGGACCCAAGGAAATGCTGTCAAGCTGAGGCAGAGAAGGTTTAGGCTGGACATCAGGAAGAGGTTCTTCACTGAGAGGGTGATTGCACACTGGAACAGGCTCCCCAGGGAAGTGGTCACTGCACCGAGCCTGTCTGAATTTAAGAAGCATTTGGACTGTACACTTAGTCACATGGTCTAAAATTTTGGGTAGACTTGTGCGGTGCCAAGAGTTGGATTCGATGATCCTTATGGGTCCCTTCCAACTCGGGATATTCTATGATAAGTCATCCTGGAAATGTTGATCACAGTTTTCCACTAATTTTTGGTAACAGACCATTCTCATGTTACTTGCTTCAAAACTTATTAGTTCAGCGTATATTGGCTATATGTTTGCTATCAGATCCTATCTGGAAGCCAGGTTTCCCTCTATCCAAAACAAAAGCAAACTTATTTTAACACCTCACATTCCCATACAAGACACTCATTAACAAATGTGCCCAGGCACAATCAGATCATATCTGGTAACTTGTCTAGATTTAGTAGAACTATCATGACCATATACTAAAATTAAAATCCTCATGTTTTAAGGATATGTCACAAGTGTTCTCACAGATCTCCAGTGCAGTATTTTACAATAGAGTGGATCACAACCTCTGAAGAAACATGTATGCAGCAGAGAGAATGTACATGCATGAAGAGTTGAGCACACGGTACCTGTCTTTTTCAAGCTGATTATTCTGATGCAGTCTGACAGAAGCTACAGCTTAACTGTATCATTTTCAAAGGCTCTCTGACCGTGTGAAAGTCAACAGATGTGGGAATGTAATAACAGTTGGAAAGACTGAAAAACCAGGCACAGAACAGCAACTGTTAAGTTCCATTTTTCTCTCCCTGCTCTGACACACAAACACAGAGTAGCCACTAAGTAAAGCCTCCTCCTGTAAACCCAGCTCTTTGGAGAAGGGATGAGAGCAGCAGGGAAAAGGCAGAAATGAAAGAGTAGCAGGAATACATCATTCTGTCTATAAAACAAAAGTAGGAAGAATGCACGTGCCAGAGCCAGCAACCCATCACGACCTAGGTGACAGAAAACAAACAGTGGGGAAATGGAGACATTTTAAAGACACTTGCAAAGATAATTTACAGTTACAATAGTGATCCAGAGCACTGAAAAATTATAGCTGTCAAATGACTAATTGGTGATGAACACCAAATGACTGAGTGAAGCTGTTTGACAATAACTGTCAGCATGATCACAAACAAAATACCAGCTACGTACCCAACAGTCCCACCCAGCATATTAATAAGAGAGCTGGGACAATCCTTCAAACTATGCTGCATAACTGAGGCCCGAGTCAGTGAGGTCAAGTGACAAGTGATTTCATTTCCAATTAAAGCTCTTGTAATCATGCATTAGCAGGTACCTTTTAGTTGCAGCACTCACGGGTATAAACCAAACTAGTTTCTTACAAATAAAACCACAATCTATTCTAACCATACACAGCACTTGCATCTGAACCTGCACAAATTGCTTCTTCCCAAGATCACAAATGAAAATAATTTGTGCCTAAGAGCCCTTTTTAGAAATCTGTTATGATTTTAATCAAATTCGCTCACCCCCAAATACTACAATATGAAACTAATCACTTGCTTTGTAAGTTTACACAGACACTAAGGAAGTTTCAACAGCTGTTGGAACAACATTGCAGCCTCTGACTTTTTAATAAAGTTGCTGCAGTCAAGGTTTACTATAAATTGATGATTTAGCTGGATTAGATGTTAATATGCAGCTTGATATATTATTCATGAGACTGAGTCACAGACCTAATTAGAAACATGACATGAAAAGCTTTCGAGTCCACAATCTGGATTCTCCCTGACATGAAAGATTTGACATGTGAATAAATTTTCACTTACTGAGAGAAGAGAGATAAATGACCTTTTACATCTAAATGTAAAAATGTCATGTTGGAGATGCATCACTTGCCTTCCTGAGAGTTTGGGAAAAACAGGAGCAGTATCCAGTTTGATATAAGAGAAGCCCTTCCGAAACAGACCACCTATCTCTATGTGGTTGCAAAATGTCTGTTCCATTCTCCTGCCCAGTCACAGACATTAAATAAAAACACATAATCCCCTGCCAGACAAACTTTTCAGGAGCTTCATTAAGATGGCCTAGAAACAGCTTTGCTTAGCAGTGTGAAGGAGGCCTATGTTGTAACTACACAGCCCTAAATACCTGCATATACCAGTTGGTGTAATATCAGCTTTCCAGGCTTAAATGATGATTAAATAATCTTAGAGAATTGTTACTTAGATGTTTTGGCCCGAAATACTATGTTAGTGAAATTAGTAACAATAGACTCAGACAACAGCAGAAGGGAGCTGCTGTTCAATTAATGACACTGACTAGCAGCGGGCAATAAGTGTACCTGGGAAAGCATTAGTAACACTTCATATTAGGGGATTATTTTGTGCAGTGAATTATTCCAGTAATAATTTATTTATTGAGGCATATGCCAAAACCCAACTTGCTATAACACTAAGTGAAGTTGGTATGGTAGCATAACCCTTAATTATTTGCCTTCCTAAAGACTACTTTTTTTTTTGAACTCAGGACTGATTTTAAGAGCTCATTTTCCCACACTTGCCTGTTTCAGCGCTAATCAATGTGTTTAGGATGACAAATATTGTTTTAAGAAATATTATTTCTGTTGAGATGTATTTTTGAAAATTTGGGTTAATTATTTCTTATCTTGGTACATAGAAGTTTGATAATTTAATTTCTACTATAATTCTTTACATCCTCTATTCATATGCTACGTATTATCTTACGCACAATGAAACCAACCCTCAGATATAGAAAAAAATGAAGGTATCACTGGATACATCTGAAATAAATATGGTCTGCCAGGCATAGAGAGAATATGATGAGAAACACTTTCTTCAGTTTACAAAACAAACCACCATGATATACTAATTAGCTGACAACATGGAAGAAAGTATTTTAAAAAGAGAAATTAAACTTAGATAGAAATTAGTGTCTGAAACTTGCAATCTCTCTCTCCCTCTATACATATATTCCTAGCCAACATTGATCTGAACCTGGTAAAGCCAAAGGATAACCCAGCATAAGCAAGGCTTCTGAGTCCGTGAAAACAATCTGAAGTGGCACATAAGCAACTGAAAGCTTTTTCCAGACTTGACAACATTGAGAAATACAACAGCACAGAGCAAGAAGTCATTATTAATAAACACAGCCAACAGATTGTAGTCAGCTGTCTTTGTATGAGGGCAATACTGAAGGAGATAAGAAGGAAGAGGTCAGAATGTACTAGTTTCCAAAATTAGTAATTCATTAACATTTCACTTGAGATCTATTATGAAGAAGTCAGAAGAGGAGTAGAGTAATTCTTAGCATCAATGATCTCAGTGTCCTGATTTGTACAGGATCAACTCCTGAGCCATCTGTAAGATTTACATTCACAACCAAACTCGCTTCTCTTACCTCAAGTTGTTTATGGTTTTCCAGCTTGCAGGAAAAAAACACTGTGACAAGGATAAGAGACTATTTACTTCTGAGTTATTTTAAAATAGTATTATGTTTTAGACTTACTGCCAAATAGCTTCTGTTGGTGGTACCATTCATTCTACTCTGAATGCACCAAACAGCAAAAAGTGCCAACTGAGTAGAAGCTACAAGCAAGCAGTCCCTGTCTCAAACTATAACTGTGCCATCTGGCCTTTTGAAATTTGTAGCTGTTTCTAATAAAGCACTAATTAATGCTTTTCATAATCTGCCATTGTTCGGCAATACATTAGTTTTCATCTCTAGTGAAAACTTTTTCAATCAATGTAATTCACATTCCAGAAGAAAACATGGAAAAGATTAGAGGTAGCTGATTTTTTGATTTATAAATCAGATTAAAGCTTCAACCACTGTTGTAGAGATTACTAGTATGTTCATGGTCCAGATATATAGTTAAACAAATTGAAAACCCATATTTATAAAGATAAATAGCTTAACTAAAGAAAGATCAGGAAAACAAAAAGAACACACAACAAATCAAAGAGCACGGGCTTGACAACTTAAGCCTTATGAGCCCAATTTCAAAGTCTGTCATTTAGCTACAACGTATTCACCAAATGTAACTCCCCCAAAGGACATAACTCTTCATAAGTCTTACTGAAGATAAAATGAGAAACTCACACCCTTGACATTGTCAGTGACAGAAAACAGACCTCAATGTACTACTGTTCAGATGTGTATTTATTCTAGAGAGGGATCTCTTTTCTTACCGTACATGAAAGAGCAGATCCTTTATATTCTTCTCAGCTCAATTGACACTCCATTGGTTAAAGCTAGGGAGGGGGAAAAAATAAAAAACATTTTAGGTAAGGGATTTTCACAAATTTTCTTGGCCTGATATGTTTATACAAGACTTACAAGAAATAATCATAAGACAAAGGTTCTGATGGAGGTTGCCTATGTTATGGCTATTTCAAATTAAATCTAAAAAACTAACAGCTGATGCCAATATGCCACAAGTCCTTACACTAGAACAATATAGTAAAGATGAGGTGGAGTCTGGTGATTTTCTATTTCTTTCTCCCAGCAGCGCGTTATTCTCTTAACAGAGAGTTAGGAAGGAAAGAGAGCTAAGAAGGTCAGACATGTAGTACGATGAGCCTGCCCTATCAGAAAAAGTTTTCTACCTCTGCTCCTATACATGTTTTTGGATTTCCTTATGAAAGTTATGAAGTCAAATAAAGCATGTAAACTCTGGTTAAAACAAGAAGTTTTGCCTGTAGCATCGTGATGACGAATGCAAGTAAGAATATTTCAGACCTACCAATGTGAGCAACACATTAGTAGTTTCTACACTTTCAAATTCCATCCAGAGCAGTAATTAATAGATGCTTAATAAGAAGCCACATGTAGTCTCATTCAAATTCACCCCAGCACCTCCTACTAATTTTATTCCCTATGTAGTGATCTCTTTCAAAAAAGAGCAATATACTGAAGTCAATAGGACAATCCCATTCCGTAAAAGGAGAGAATCTAGACTAAAGATGTAAAGTACCTCTTTAATAAACCAAGTAAAGTTTGGGAGAGATTCCTGAATACAGTCAGCTCTAATGGAGACATGAAGTTAAACAGTGAAAGGAATAACTGCTATCAAATAACATTGACCTATTGTAAAGAAAATATAATCTATTTACAGAACAAGCATAACAGCAACTAAGCTCAGTGTTTGACTCAAAAGCAAATAGTATCAGTGCTTTAACTGATGTAGTCTATCTTCCTTTGAGATGGTAACAATTATGTTGTTAGAAGATTTATATTTTTGGCTTTCTAGTTCTGCTTTTCAGATAGCTACTATGGTCATCTGTAACAATCCAGCTAGTTATTAGGGAAGCATTCAATGTTCAGAGAGATACAAAAGTCATTCCCCTCTCCTTCCTCTGCTAAGGAAACAGGAAACATTCCAGATAAGAATTTAGGGATGCAACTCATTTAAAGGTTCAATTCAGTGTTTTATGAAGAAGTTTTAGTTTGGAAATTATAAACTGAACAAGCTACTGAGAAAATTCAGACTTTTAGATGCAGATTTAACATCACGCCCCTAAAATGATGCGTTCTGCTACGAAGTAAGCCATTTAAAAAAATGGGTTCCAATCTCCCCTTTTCCAGATTTCTATTGCTGTTAAATTATAAGATTAAACAATCTGCTTTACCAGTTTAGTGAAAAAAAGTTTCTATAGCAAATTATTCTAATCTCTTGTTAACAGTTTTTCTTATATTTAAACACACCATTTCCCTGATTACCAGATGTAACCAAGATTCCCAGAAGTGCTTATATCTAGGAATTTTTACTAGAATTATCAGTCAACATCAACACAGTATTTGCTGCAGAATGCATACTAGGCATTTCAATATGATAACATCACCCCAGACTGCATTTGCCTTTAATTTATTCAAATCAATTTAATCCCAAAGCTTTTATACTGCAGAAGTAGAATATGCTCCCTTGCACATACTTAAATGATGATGTTATATTCGACTTCAGAGTACTATATTAAACACTTGTATATCATGATACATCAGGCTTTCATCTGTGATCATTTTCCTTTCATGTTAATACTTCTTTCAACACACAGCAGCATTCACGTATGGCTCAGGCTCCCATAAAGCTGAGCTTGGCAGGAACTAAGGGTACTACAGTGTGGTCGCAGCCATCTGTCAGCACAACTGGCCATACATTTAAACAACAACAAAACAAAACCAATTAGAAGTCACTGGCCTGGTTACTGCTAAGACCAGAAGAAAATAACTACCAAATATGACACCCAGGAAACAAGCTTGTTGGAGCCAGGGCCAGCTCCTCATTCTCCTGTAACGTGCCTTTGAGAGGCAGTATTGGGTTTCAAGAGCTGTCTTTCAGTGACAGGAGTTTGCCAGAGACCATGCTGAACACTCATCATAGTCTACTTGAGTTATCTTGAGTTTTCAGTTCATAAGCCCAAGTTTCTAAGTTGCGATAGCTCATGACACATTTCCTATGATCAGTCATTCAGATATATCCATGAAGATGATCCAGAGATTTACTGAGGATATGGAATGGTTTGGAAAGAAAACTAAAGAACTAGGCAGAAACACCTAGTTTGGACCACCATTTATACTTTTATTGCATTCTAGTTAACCATCTCATGGCCACTGCAAGATATATTTAGTAGTCCATTCAGGTTAACAACACAAATCAAGTTTATTTTTTCAACCTTATCACTGAAAGCATGAAATTCTTTCTTTTTTTTTTTTTCATCCCGGGTAAACGCTTAATTATATATGCTTAATGCTTATTATATATGCTTAATTATGCTTATTATAAATGCTTATTATATATGCTTAATATTTGAAAACACTTTCTTGGTTGATCAGAATAAAGGTACATTTAAGTATAGTCGCAAGCATTTTATAAATATATAAAATTCCCATTGATTACTGGATTAATTCCCAAGTTTATTTTTTATCTTCTGCTCTTGCACTTATTGTTGCCTTAATTTATATTCTGTTATTACTTGTAACACAGAGTGACCCTATCTCACTACAGTGCAATAATAAAGCAAATATTACCTAAGGGATGAAGAGTGTATCCCCCAGTATGTTCCACAATGATGAAAAGTAAATATTTCAGGGAGTTGAGCAATTATTTTTTTTTTTTTAAATAGGAAAGAAAAAAGAAAAAAGCTTGGAAGATGTCACGAATTCTAGCTCAAATACAGAGCTCACTAAGAGCTTCTAGATAAAGCCAAAGAAACACATGCACTGTCACCTTATCAGCCTATGAGCAGTATCCCTCCTGAACAGAGATTTAGATCAGCTGGCTTAATGACAGGGAGGGTGAATACCGTGACCAATTTTAGCTGTATTGTCTATAAAGACGAACACTGTCTTTGACAGCACCACCCAAACGCACGCTCTTTTCTATGTAGCTTTCATACCATTTAGGTATCTTGACTACAGAATTAAAAGAGCTAAGGTCTATTTAGTATCACTTGACACTGAATCTTCAGATCAGAGATAGAAATGCAAGTATTTAAGCAATTAACTGGAAGAGAATAGGAAGTTGATTTTTATTTTACAGGAAGGATTAAGTGGGAAGTAATCAAAGTTAGCTTTCTACAGAGGCAGCTCTCAGCTAACAAACTCTTAAGATAGCACCACAAGCTAAAAAAATATGAAATCTGGTTGTGTTGTATACCACCAACAGCATATGAAACTGCTAGCAAAATATCATGGAGACTATTCTCCTATATCTCTGAGTTCCAGAGAAAACTTTGCTTAAAGCCTGGTGTGCCCCATAGGTAGTAACATTAATGCTAACACTGACCAACAGAAATGACTGCAATCATGCTACTACAATCTTCTACTGCAGAGAAAGGCAATCATGCAAATGAGTTTCCTGTCAAATTGCTATCTAATTTTAGTAATGTCCATCCAGCCTGGATATCATTACTTTATATTTTTGTTTCTAAGTCATCACAGAACTGATAGCTGCAAGTAGAAAAGAAAGAAACAATGAGAATGGTCCTTGGGTAATAAGGAAAAGAAAACTTCTGGGCTGTCAGGAACTAGAAATAGCAGATACTACCTCTATCAGCTGTATTTTTTTTTTTCTTCTCCACCATTGCCCATTCCAGGTATCCCATTACTGTGATTTAGGATTTTGCAGGCTCAAATACAGAGGGCAGCAAATTTAAGAGGCCTACAAGAAATAAACCTTACCAGACCCTTCCCACCTTCCCCAACATAAAGTTTAAAGTATAAAATGAGAAGGAATACAAATTTTTTGTAAGCATGATTCTAGAACAATACAGTATTAGCTGTAGATTCAAAAATGCAAGGGAGAATGTTTCTAGCAAAGTAGATGCTCCGTGTCTGTCCCTTTAAAGGGATGAAGGATGGAGAAGCAGCAGGGAAACGTTCCTGAAAGTGTCTTTTAACACCAAGTAAAGAGACAAGTTAGCCATCTGAAAAGCAAAGCACGATTTCTTTTACAGATCATAAGACATATTAAGCAGGGCTACATTCTTGGGTTTCTGTTCTTAACCAGCAGCAATGTACTTACTTGTGGTCATGAGGACAGTAATTGCTCTTGGATATTTTTGTTTCTAAAAGTTTCTAAACAGAATATGGGGAGACTGCATTAAACACACTTGATCACATCTTTTATGAAACCTACACGTGTAACTAACAAGACTATGTAGTTACTGTCCTAAATGCAACATTTTCCAACAGAAGAGGCATGTAAACCCTCCATCAGAGATATATTCTCGAAGGAACACATTTCATCCTGAGACACCATACATTTTTTAAATTCAAGCTTTTGCAGGCTTTAACATTACAGTTGGACTATCCAGGTTTTTTGTTAAATAACTAGGCTTGTAATCAAAGAAAAAGAAAAATCAAAAGGAATGAGTTTTAGTTGGGACAAGTCCTGTTTTCTGTAGCATTAGAACCTCAAATGCAACTCAGGAAGGTGAAAGCTTGTGGTTGAAAGGTGTCCTGAAGATGCACACCAGCAGCTAAGGACTAGATATTGCAGTTGTTAGGACACCTGCAGGTGGTGGCAGTTACTTGGCAAACGTGTAGAGCACTTCAGAGGCAGGTGCTCTTGGTGTTTCCATCAGCACCTAGACCAGTTAAACACCCACCCACCCACTCCCACCTGGAAGACTCATGCTCCCTCCCTCCCTATCCTCTCACCACAGTACCTCCAAGTTTCACATCCCCAAGCCCTCAGCCAGGCAACCAGAGGACTTCCCACCTCCACAGGCATCAAAAACCTGCACCAAGTGAAATGCTGATGTTAATTAACAGGTGGGCATCTCCCTATCCAACGCAGGTGCGGGCTCCTGACAGCCTAGAGAATGTTTCAGTTCAGAAGTGCAGAAGAACAATGGGAAGAGAAATATTGCAGGTTTTCTAAATGATTTTAAACTAGTAGAAGAGGTATTAAGTTTCAGAAAGACTATGAACGTAGAAGTCAGGAAGAAAAATTGGAAGATGACAATAGGAAATATGCCAAAGAAGTGTGGCAAGGATAAAGGACTCAAAGACAGATAAGAGGGGATTATAATCTTTGTAAACTGATGAGGGAAAATGACAAGGACTTGCACATTCAAGTTCACCATCCTCCTGACTTGCATGCCTTCATCCCACTTCTCATAAATCCAATAAGATTCATTTCCTGGAACAGCTTCCAGGTCTTCATCCCCAGACCCACCTCCTCTCCAGCACTCCCCACCTGAAGAGAGAGCTGCGGACATATCAGGAGCTGCCTTCCTAGCCAGCAGCATTCAAGGCAGCCAGAGTGTCAAGAAAGTGGCACCATGCAGCATCCAGGAAAAAAAATAATAATTAGGAAATAGGAAGAAGGAAATATTGATAAAAGGTCACATCTATTCTGAGTTTTATGCTTTCAGCTGCATGTTCCTTTCCTACTAAAAGAAGCACCTGAGAAAAGCTTGCCAAAAAAAAAGAAAAAAAGGGAGTGGGTGGAAGCCATCAAAACAAAAATATATTCCTATATAAGAAGAGAAGCTGATTCAGTTGTCACCAGACTACAGAGAGTGGTTTCATTACCAAAGAACAAGATATAACTTCTCCCCCTACACTTAGGCATTGTAATAATAAAAAGACCCTGTAAAACCACTGCAGTAAATTAGGAAGCTAGAAAAAATACACAGGGCACAGGTTAATGGCATTTATACATATTTTTGGGAAGAAGAACAATTACAATTTGCATCTCAGCACATGCCCACTACTTAGCATAACCTTAAACACTAATAAATTCAAACACGACAGATCAGTGGTGCTCCTACCTGCTACTTTCCATACACAGCAAAGGGCAGCAGCAAGTACAGCTCTGTTTTCCTGTGGCTGCTAATGCTGCACTGCAGTTATTCCAGCCACACCAGCACTAGAGTGGCCCCAAGTTGTACAGCCAGTGCCTGAAACAGGCATGGAAGCGCTTTGCCTCCCAGGTAAGGACAGCTTGCACTTCTCTCCCTTCTCCAGGAGGAAAACAAGTAGTACTAATATCCATGCCTCTTAAAACCTTCACTTAACAGATTAGAAGAGCTGACAACTACACACTCCTCAGAAAGCCTGTTAATAAGATGCAACTCACACCCCCAGGACTGGCCAGCCCCAGCTGTCCCTCATCACCTTTTGTGACCTCCAGCTAGCACCCCACACTCCTAATCAGGTCCTGCTCTGCCCCAGGGCACAGCACATGACTGAAGAAGCAATTTCTAGAAATAGAGTTTTCTTCTTAAATTCCTTTAGTCTATGAGTTGTGGTGGTAGTTCTTTGTTGTTTTGGTTTGCTTTTTTGTTTGTTTGGTTGGTTTTGCTGACAAATAAAAGAGAAAATTACCATCTTATTCTTTTTCTGCAAGCCAGCCTACTTTTCTACCTCTGAGATAACCGTGAGCATAGCAAAAAGCTTCTTAAAATCTAGTCCTGCTTGTCCAGGATCAGTAGCCAGACTCCTTCTCAACCCACTGAATGAGGCTGTGACCTTGAGACTGTAGATTTGCCACACAGGAACACTTGCAGAAGGTAAAAATGCTTCCTTTGCACCAGCTCTGCTTCTGCACCATACATTCAAAATAATGACATTTCTTACCACAAGGCACAGAGCTGCACTTAAGCACCTAACAAATATGAATGTGCACTAGAGTATATAACTGAAATTCTGCCTCTGGACAGCTTCCTCCCCAAAAGATTTTTATCTATAAAAATGATATGTGGTTCCTACACACCTGGGGAAGATTTAAAAAGGAAAAAAAAAAAAAAAAAAGGAAACCCAATTCCATATGAAGATGCTTGATGAGCTAGATTAATGTTATTATCTAACACCTTACAATTTATCTTTTGAATTGTATTGGCAGTGGTGGTGGCTACAAGACAGCAGAGACACAATCAGACACATACATGGTACATATGCCCAGGTTTCTTCACTGTCTGTCTTAGGTTTTGTGATTTCCATTGTGAAAGTAATAAACTGACACTTTTGTGTAGCTATGTGAATAAATGCTCTTTTTCTTTTTTTTTTTTTTCTTTTTTTTTCTTCTGTTAGTTAAAGCATAATATTACTGCCCAGAGAGCAACAACATACTGGCCAGAAATGTGCTCATCTATTTGTAATACTGACGAGTAAGGCTGCAATCCTTTGTTGTGCAGGTGACAGCCCCAGCACAGCCTGCTCAGAGGTCGTCCACTCTCCTCTTTGGAGATCTTCCAAAGCTGTTTGAACATGGTCCTGAGCACCCCTGTTTTGGATGGCCTTGATACAGCAGGGGTTAGGCCAGCTCTCTCCAGAGGTCCGCTCTAGCCTCAAGCATTGTAAAAAGTGATTCTGTAAAAGGAGAGCAGGATGGGCAGCAGCATTGTTTACTCATACTTCTGTTACATGGAAAACTTCTGGTTTTGTTTTGTTTTGTTTTGATGTGTTAAACGCTTGTAATGTTGAAGTTTGCTTCTGAGAAAATAAAGGGAGAAATAGGGCAAATTCAGCCACCTGAAGTCATGTACGACAGTTTGTAGAGGTAAATCAAAGACACAAGGAAAGCTTTTCTGTGTGAAGAGTGTCAGAGCAAATTAAGAGAGATATTGACAAGATTATCAACACAGTAGAAATGAAAAGCATCTGCACTGTAATGGAGGCTATGCAAAATCAGGCTCTGTATCAAGAGAACACAATTCATATTTCTGTGGCTAGATATCATGTATTGAGATCTAATTAAAATATATAATCCAGCATTTATAACTGCATTCTGAGTCAGACTCAAAAGGAGGTGGGGGCACCAGAAAAAGAAGGATTTTCCAAAAATATCATTAGTATATTAGTGAAGGTATTAAACCCTACATTTAGGAAACATTTGGCTGCAGTACACTTTCAGAAGTACTACTGTGGCCCAGGAAGAAGTCTTCTCCCAGTCACTAGTTAGCAGACCAGGCAATATGACCCAGACCAGGGCCTGTCTGCTGCAGAGGTGCCTGCTGGCCAGATGGTAACATCAGAAACAGTTTTTGTTTGGTAATAATGGTGGAAAGGGCCAGATTTCTGTTTCCAAAGTGCAAAAGCAAAAGAAACAAGGTTTGTGACAGTAGTGACTTCAAAGCATGCTACAAACAATTTCATCTGCCATGCTGAAGGGAAAAATGGGATCGAAGAAACAGAAGGAACAGGGAAACACAGCAGCATGCTACAGAGCAGTCTAGAGAATTAAACAAGGCTTGAATAGCCCGAAAACATACAGTCTCACAGCTTGTCAAGCACATATCCTGAAAAGAAATGCTTGGAATCAATTTATGTTATCATTTGCTTATTTTAAATTTTCTTGTCTTGTAATAGCTAATGATGCAATCCATTTTTTTCTCTTATCTAAGACCATCTAGATTGTCACCTCATTTATTTATTTATTTGTGCACTGCACTGTCTGTGATAGTTAAACTATTTATCGTACAACAAAAATCCTTATACACTCTGTTTGCATTGACGAAATCTGTGGCAGCTGTGTTGTGATCATTGTGTGCCTCTAAAAGCCAGTTTGACATAGATTGGCAATATCTGACTTCGAAGGACTGGTGGTAACGAGGGGTGGAGGAATCAATTCCTCATTGCTCTGTAAGAAGGAAAATAGAAGTACTGAGCTGGGTCTAGACTACTTCTGCCACTATGGATTTACTGCACATTGTGATACAATTATCTATAGGCAGGAATTCAGCTTGCTGATGAAAAACAGCAGCAGAGGACTGAATAAACCACCTCTAACACTGAAGAACAATGGATTAACCATTGCAAGGATTTCACTCCACAATAAGGTAAATAAACAAATTGCAGGTAAAATAAATCTACACACATCTGTGTTGAGAGAATCTGACTGGCTTGGCATCTGCATGTTGTGTGCATAAGAATCTCTACCCAAACACTGAATTCTAATTGACTTTCACAAGTCAATTCATAGTGGATTTCACAAAGGCAGTTGTCAATGCTCTATGGTTGAACAGCTTATTGAATTAGGAGGAAGTCACTTGCTATTCTGAGCAGCCTGCATTCTACAAGTTCTGGTGAAACAGCTAAAAATTCCATCAAATATGACTTAGCAAGAAAAGGTTTTATAAAAATTCCACTGTAAATAGGAGCACATTGTTCTGATTTTACTGTCATTGTTCTATGAAATTAGGATGACTTATTTATAAATAATACGTGATTTTTTGTTTATTGAACATAAGTGATTTTTTCTTTACAAATGGCCTCATGGATTAAACACTGTTTATATATTTTAGAAAGCTGTGGGAGAGCTGTAAAGAATTCTGCTTAAATCACCATAAGTGATGGATAAATTGCCTCTAAAATGTTTAAATCACATCTAGCTCATAAGACAGGAATTCTGTGAGAAGAGGCTAACTACAAATTTTCAGATTTGGAATATTCTGGAGGTGTGAATAATACATCAACATTTTAATGCTTATCTTCTGCTGAGGACCCAGCTCACCTACTAGTGTTTGGGGTTATTTGGCAGGACGTTCAGCTCAGCAGCTTGCTTCATTCAGTAGTTGTTTCCAAGCACGTTAAAGAACACCAGCCTGTGATGGTCATTTTTTCATTCCCCTGTCTCCACAGTTTAATTATTTAAACAAATAATATAGGTTTGAGGCAAGATGAAGAAAATATGTTTAAAGAACTTATCAAAATGGCTAGGAGAAACATAAATGGCCAGTGATAGAGTGGAGGTCAAACTGGGCAATACAAATGTTAGCTTTTTTGCTATGCAAGCATGAGTCTGTCACTCAGAAAATTTGTTATCAGGGAAGAAAGAAATTCCATAAAGGAAAGAACTTATAACTGCAAACTGGCACTGTTCATTTTGCAAGTCAGTATAGCCCTGAATCATTTTTCTCTATTTCATATTGGATGCTCTCATTTGTGCTGTCTTTTCACTAACTCATCCACTAACAGTGTAGATCCTGAACAGTTTACATCAACTAATCCCTCAGGCTTGGGAATACTGCAGAGAATGATACACATCACAGATCTCTTTATCCTTTCATGATATACATCTTTGATATGCATTATTATGACACACAATAAACCTCACTTTAGTGTAGTCACGCAGATACAGCACATGTCATCAGTCACTGAAAAGTGGGCCTGAGGGTTTTTAAGGCTGAGTAGGTGGGTGTTTTATTTATGACATGAATATGACAACTCTATTAATGTAGAAACTGTATGCAGTAAACGCTCTTCCACCACTAACGATTGTATACTTTTATATAATGCAAAAGCAAAATAATATTTTTTCTATAGTATTTGTTTTTAAAAATAATCCTCTATATTTTACTGAGTAACTTGCTGGATACTGAAAGCCATGAAGACTTTTTCATTTTTTATTTTATTTTATTATTTTTTTTAGGTCTAACAACATGGTTAATATCCTTAAACTATTTTCTCCATGTAAGATTTCATTCCATTTTTTGCTATCCAATCTCATCCAATTTGTTTTCATCAGGTACCAGCTTGCTGTCCAGCAAGCCAATCTCATTCCATATTGATCTGTGGTGAGACAAAAGGATAGAAGAAAGCAAAAATAAAAGAAAAAGAATGGTAGCCAAAAAAAAAAAAAGAGAAGCACCTTGACCTCTATTCCTTCCATGCTGTGGCAGTCTAGCTAGTCTGAAAAAATAAGTGCAGTGCTATATTAGTAAGGAATTCCTCTGACAGAACAAATGTATTTGTGCCCCCACCTCCATACAATAGCTGCTTGCTAGGTTTGGTTAGTTGATGTTGTGTGACAGCAGTTATGAGTCAGCAGAAAATGTGTTTTAGTGCACACTTGAGAAATCCATACGATCAATAGCTAAGGGAAGAACACAAATGTGTAGCATGTTTGTTTGCCCCTCCTTTCTAAAGTATCTCATCACTGATCCGCTCTGAGCTCAAACATTCAGACCACAAGTATTTTCAAAATGGTTTGAGCCTGTGTCATATCTGTTTATACACTGTCAGTAAAATGCTGTTGCATTACTAAGGATGAGTGATTTTCAACACCGTTCTTATTGAATATCTCTGCAAAAATAAAGTCTCTGATCATTTGAGATACTGAAAAGCTCAGACTGTCTCAGCTCTTGAGGGCAGCTATGTTACATGTCAGAAACATGTTTAACACTTGAGGGCTTACAAC